TCTGATCATCTGTGTCCAATGCCCTGCAGGTCTGTATTACTGAATTTTGATGCCAAATATGACCATGGTGCTATTGCACACTACAGCTCCAGTGTTACTGGATCCAGGTGTGCCCAAGCACTTCCATCAGGCTCAGCCTTCTTAAGCTGATTTGCAGCTTGAAATTAAATTGGACACCTAAGATAAAATGAAGAGTTTGATGAAGAGTGCGTTAGTCATAGACATGCAGTGCTGGAAAATATCTCAAGAGATCAGCTATGTATCATCACAGATTAGTTTGTTTAACTTGTTCTTATAAACCAGTTAAGGCAAAGGCAATTGCACAACCTGCCAACGTAGCTTGTTCCAAAGCTTCATTACCTTGGGTTGTTTTTATGTCTGTCACAAATTACTGGTGCTGCAAGTTTAAGAGCTCAGTTTAAGCTGTCCGGCTTTAAAGGTTAAGTGTTGCTATCAGAGACTGAAGAACTATTGCTGATTAAGTGCTTGCTGCTTAAGTAGCTATTAAAGACTTCTGTAGTAGATGTATTTTTAAGAAAGGTAAATAATCCTCTTTACTAGTACATGTTCATAAATACTGCATAATAAAAGCTGTGGATACAGTTCCTTTTTTCCTGAACTAATTGTATGCCATTAGTTAGGGCAGTTGGCAGAGATAGAGATGCTTAAGTTGGCTTCAGCCATGCTAACTCTAGAGTTTCAAACCCTGGCAAGTGTGATGCAGAGGCACTTGGCCAAGAAGGCTGCTGATCCTGTGATGCCTCCCTCACTGGTTTGGGATGTTTGCATGCCATCACATACTCCTCTGCAGGCTTTCTGGCTCAGAGCTCTGCAGTGTGCTCCACTCTCTGGGATACCCTTGTAAATTGCACTTCTCGTAACACCTACTGCTACTACTTCTCCTGCAGCACAGAAGCAGCTGGTGGGAATTGTCCCCTCTTCAGCAGCTGGTCATCAGCCCTTCAGGGCGGGACATCTGGCTGGCCAAGAAAAATGAAAGACTCCTTTTATCCTCTTCCACAGCCACCAGTGCATTAGTTGAAGTTAGTGCAAAGAGTTAAAACAGCGAGTTAACTGTTGCGTTATTCTCAATGCACTATAAATACCAACTCATAGCTCAGGGAACAATAACACTAGTTCTGTTGCTCTTTGTCTCAAGCTCTGCTACGTTATGCCATCATCCAGTGCGAGATGCGCTCAGTTTCCCCGTGCACAAGATAAAGTTCATTATTATATAAAGCTGAAAGACTTGAGGGATCAACTGAAAGGCATTGCACCAAACACAGAGGTGCAGGAGGTGCGGTACACGTTTGACTTGCAACTTGCACAAGGTATAGTGCTTATTTTGTTAATCCTTTATTAAAACGTGATGTAACATACGACACAACTAGCAGTTTCCCAAGCAAAAAGAAATAAAGAATTTAAGGGGAGGGGGGAGATGTGCCATCTTCTCTAAAGCGCGTGGTGTAGAATGATAGATTCCACTCTCTTTTTAGTACAGTCTTAATTATTGGGGGGGAGTGGGGATTATTGTGTAGAATGGGTGGCCGTTTTGTCAAGTGTTCTCTACTAAAAATGCTCTGTGATCGTTTTTATTCTGCATATTAACACTTGAGGTCTTCTCTTCCGGCAGAGGATGCTAAAAAGATGGCTGTCAAAGAAGAAAAATACGATCCAGGTTATGAAGCAGCGTATGGAGGAGCCTACTGCGACCGCGCGCTCTATGAAAGTGAACAGTGCACTTTCTCTTCAAATGGAACTGGTAACGTGCAGAACGTGTGGCATTCAGTCTCTAACCTTTGCTCATGAACAGCTACTTTGTGATACCAACTGCATTTTACAAATTGTGTTCTCCTGTTTGTGGTTGGTTTGGCAGCAGGTAATCCACAGTACTGTGAGGGGCCGTCCTTTGGTGAAGTTCCTAATGGACAATGGATGACACAGTCCTTTGCAGACCAGATTCCAGAGTTCGATGCTGGTGTGACGCGGGAAGAAGAGGGAAACAACGCGTAAGAGCTGTGTCTTCTCAGCTATGCATACCTGCTGCAGTTTTAATGCAGTGCTCAAGATTGGTACCTCAGTTCTCCAACTGAAGCATTTGAATAGGATTTTATCTCCCCTAGTTATTTTATTCTAGTCCCAAGTATGTGTGTGGTAGGATCTAATCAATGAACTAGTGAATTTTAAGGAACTGTCCAAACTTTTTAAAAAGTTAGCCCTTTTTTGTATATGAGTTTTATATTTAATGTATACCATTTATTGCAGGGTTTGACAAATTGCTTTCTCATTTGTGAAGATTTCTTTGAGGCGTTAATTTCATTCCATGAACCGTAACATAGTAGTAACAGCAGCAGTATACTGATGCCTCAATATTGGGATCTCTCATAATCCTTTTCTATCCCATGAGGGGAAAATGGGAAATGTACCCTTCTTTTACATGAAATTGTGGTTTTAATCATGCACAGTTAAGCAAATTGTGCTTTTTAAGTCTGCCTTTTACCTTCTTAGTGTATTTTCTGGGTGGGAAGAGCGCTCTGTCTATTCAGGATTAACGGGAGTGGAGACATCATCTCAAGACACAGCACTTTGGAGGAAAATTTGTGTTGCACAGGACAGGGCCTAAATATTGTATCTACCTAAGCTATTTTTAGGGTAAGGTTTCCCTAGCACTCCATCTCTTCCCCCATTAAATTTCAATGTAAGGAACTGGAATTCCTTTAAAAAAATGAATTGCAATGTAAGGAACTGGAATTCCTTTAAAGAAATGAACAATGGTGGTTCTTGAATTCTGTGGCATTTAACTCTCAGTGATATCTGTGGGATTAGTCTCTTCAGCTGACCTTCAGCAGAAGACAACCCCTTTGCACAGATTGCATTGCAGGGAATTGAAAGATCAAGCTCCCTGTAAAAATCATGTACAGCTGCATCATTTACATCAGGTACAGTTAGCACAGGGTGAAAGAGGTTTGTGCTTTGGTGGGTTTTAACATTCAGTTCTCTTCAGTCTCTAAGACCTTAGAAAGAAGAGTGTTGTCATTATTCCTTGAATTAAATCTAAGGGCAGGTGTTCCATGAATGAGAAGCCATCTGCAGAAACTCCAGCTCTCTTCTCAGGAACTTGCTTAAACAATATACCTTTTTGGCCAATGTTAGTGACTGAGAGAGAAATGAGACTCCATGCTTGTGCCTAACCATCATCTTCTTTCCCTCTGTTACCATATGAGGAAGAAATGAAGTAAAAGCAATAAGCTGATCAAAACACTGAAGTTTTGATGATCTTATGACAGTAGGTGCTTCACATACTTGAAAAATAGATACAGACAGTATCTCCACAATCCACACTGGTCAGCGATTCCTGAACCGGTGTCTTCTACCCTTTCCTCACAGCCAGTGACAGTTATCATGCATCAAGAGTTAGCGTAGATTCTAAACCTGCTGCAACAGCTCTTGCTAAGATCACACACTGTCAGCCTGTTGTGAGGCAGGCACAATGTTTACAGTCTCTTCCCAAATTACGTGGCTTAATTCTGAGCGTCTTAAATCAAGCAAGTGCGCATTATGATTCTGATTGTGTTTATTAACCTCAGTAGAAAGCTGTCCAGTATATTGTCAAAAAGGTATGGGGCTTGTCTTGTCTGTTATTTAAAGTGTACTGTATTATATATTGCTGTTTACATGGACGTTTTCCTACAGGTGCTCAAAGTATCTTGCATCAGGGATTTGTTACAATTCAGTTTTATTTTTCAACAAAATTAGAAGCATGTAATTAGCACTGGTGAGTATGTAGCACAGTAGGATAACACTACTGTAAGGCTATCCTGTTTGATTGGAAGGGAAAGGCCTCCTCTTTAACGGAGTCACCTACTAGGTTATCTAGGTATAGAATTGAGTGTTCAATGACCGTTCCACTAAATACTGCAATTCTGTGTGTACTCCCTCAGAACTGGTGCTCTTTTCATTACAGTAAACCTGTCTTAAACCTACCAAACGTTTCACAATAAAATCAGGAATTGTATTGTAATGTCTCAGAATATGCTTTTGCATCTTGCTAGCAGGGGGTCTGTAGTGCTGCAGGGTGTGCAAGACACGGAAACGCTGCAAAATGGAGTCACCACACACCAGAACTCCATCTCACTGAACCGGTGTGCACGTCTTCAACATGGGCCAGACAACTAAAGATACCTTGTATGGCACTGGTGAGGCTGCACCTCGAATCCTGTGTTCAGTTCTGGGCCCCTTCACTACAAGAGAGACATTGAGGTGCTGGAACAGGTCCACAGAATGGAGCTGGTGAGGGGTCTGGAGCACAAGTGTGATGAGGAACAGCTGAGGGACCTGGGGGTGTTTAGTCTGGAGAAGAGAAGGCTCAGGGAGAGCTTACTGGTCTCTGCAACTACCTGAACGGAGGATAGAGAGAGGTGGGGGTCAGTCTCTTCTCCCAAGTAACAAGTGACAGGACAAGAGGTAATGGCCTCAAGCTGCACCTGGGAGGTTTAGATCAGATATTAGGCAAAGTCTCTTCAAGGAGAGGGTGCTCAGGCATTGGAACAGGCTGCCCAGAGATTCCAGGTGGAATCACCATCCCTTGGAAGTGTTCGCAAACCGTGTAGATGAGGTCCTCAGTGACATGATTTAGTGGTGGGCTTGGCAGTCCTGGGATAACAGTGGAACTTGATCTTAAAGGTCTTTTCCAACCTGGTTGATTCTATGATTCTACCAGCAGACACTGGAATCTTATTTCTAAATACCTTACATTAAAACACACTGTCTGGCACTGAATTTCACCTCTGTAAACATTTAATGAAAATACTTCATTGTGGAGTAAACTTGTTTCCTCACCTTACATGAAAGTCTGTCACTCCAGCCACAAGCACACAATACTGATGGTCACTTACCTAGTTAACAAATCCTTAGCTTTCTAAAAAATCAGTTAATTACACAACATCTTGCATCTTGAACTATTATGTACTGCAAACCGTAGTGTCTCAGTGGTTTCAGTATCAGCTGTCAGGCCGAATTAATTTAAACTTCCCTGAAGGGTCAGGAATAAACCAGTTTTCCCAGAGATCAGTGTGAACACTGGGATAGTCCCAAGGTTTGTATCTCCCATTCCAATGAAGTAATTTTGCTTCTTGAAGAAAATGCTCTGAGTAATGAGCATCAGGGCTCCAACCTGCATGGGTAGGTTAAAAAAAGGAAATTAAAAAATCCCATTTTTCATACTGGAAGGCACTATAGAGGGAGGTATGTTCAGTGTGGGGGGGGGGGGGTGTTAAGAAGTCTAATTAGTGTGGTTCCACCCGTTAACAGACAACTAGTTGTTAAGCCAAAGTAGCTTTTTTCAGCTTTATGCCTCTAATGCTCCAGAGCAAACAATCTGAGCAGGTTTCCTCCCTCTTAACATTTTAAGATCTTGGCATAGCTGGGGTTAAACAAAAAAATCCTTTTGCTATTCATTTTACTCTTACCAGCTGAGCCACTATCTTACCCCAGGATAATTCACCATTGCCAGAAAAAGGTAACTACATCCTCAGAATGCTGAGGAGACAAACACTGCCAGGCATCCCAGCACCTTCCACCATGCCTATTAAGAGAGTGTCCGATTGTTTTTCAGTCCCTCTCTATGTTCAGCTCTTTCATACATTCTTCCCATACTTTATGACAATGCAGGTTAGCTGGTCTTTAAACATGTAACTTTGGCCTTAGTATTTGTTTCTTTTTTTTTTCCAATCCAACTTAATGACTACTAGTGATCCAAGGTATGAAGTGATGCACTGGGGTAAAGCAACATAAGGTCCTGTGCTAGAATCATACAGACCACACATTTTATTTAGTTCCAACTGCAAACAGTGGGAAGTTAAACTTACCAAGATGCCTTATGTGCCACATAGGATTAATAGTGGAATACTTTCCATGAAACACAATCAGCATTGGAGAGGTTGCCACACCTCCCCCAAGGGTGCTGCTGTAGAGGTTTTCCCTGCAAAAGGGGGAGAAAGGAGATGGAAGAAAATACTCAAAATTTCAATCACAGGTACAAAAGGCAGAGGATTAAAAACAAGTGTCCTGGCAAAATTCAGACCAATTTGCAGCATACTCCTTCCTACTGCTGTCAATTGCTTGTTTTTGCAACTCCAAGTCCTGTTGAGTAACTCATTGCTACTAGGCAAAACAGGAGTCAGACCTAGCTGAAGCCAATCACTTCTACACATCCTGGCAGTGTTCAAGGCCAGGTTGGATGCGGCTTAGAGCAACCTGGTCTAGCGGAAGGTGTCCCTGCCCATGGCAGGGGGTTGGAACTAGATGAGCTTTATGGTCCCTTCCAACCCAAACCATTCTATATGATCCTGTGATTCTATACACAAACATCTGAAGGGCATCCACTCCCTATGAATCCTGTGCTATATCCAGGGCTAGGTTAAGCCCAGTCACTGCAAGGAGAGGCAGCAGTGTGCTGAAGGCCTGGCCAGCACGACTGAAGCTGCTCATCTATGAGACCCTGTGCCCCCACCCAGCCCCACGAGGAGGAAATGTGGGAAGCACCAAGAGGCGTGTAGAGGAAAAAGAAAATCTGAACCTCCCCTCAAAACTGGGTTTCGACTGCCAAGCAATTTATTGCAGTGTCATTTCGAAATTCAGCTAAAAATAACAGGAATGTGTTACTAAGGTATAAAACTAACTTCATAGAGAAAATTTGCAGCAATATTCAGGGAGGTTTTTCTCTTAAACACTCTCAAAAAGCACCACAAGAGGTTGTCACGATACGTTACACAAGCAGAGTAAGAAAAAGACATTTGGCTTTTCATTCCTGCACATGTTTACCATTTATGTGTCTCCTCTGCTCATTTCTGAAACTAAGAAGTAATGGGGACAGTCCAATGGCACAAGCTATTTAGCTTCAGTTTAGCCTTTACGTTTAACCCTTTGTGGGTAAAGAAAATAAATGTCAAGTTCACAAGTACAGGTTACCAGTGAACTAATGTAACAAATGAAAAGTGATTGTTTCACTGTCTCATGCCTTATGGTCAGTGCCAAAAAGATCTCTTTCATGTCAAATTTTGATCATTTATAGAAAAAAATAGTGGTTTCTATTAGTATTTAAGAAATACAGTGTCCAGTCACAGTTTGGCTGATGTTACAATACGGGAGACTGCACACAAACAGGGAAACACTCCTCCTTCTTTAAGCCAGCCTCAGGAAAGGAAGATCTTAAGTGGCTTCATCTCCAGTGAGGTTGGTCACCCAAAACAAGAACCATGTGTTCTCAGTGTCCCTCGGGATTAAGCATGGTTTGTGATTAAAGACTAGAATTCCAGGTGGCCATTTCCTGGTACACAATCGGTCAGACTGATGGAAATTCTGGAATGCAAGTTACTTTGCTTGATGAGTCTCAAAGACGGACTGCTATAAAACATTTAAGAGCTTTTAAACAGAAAATGAAGCCATAACCTGAGTATTAAAAGCGCAAAGCTAGATTTCCACACATACTCTACATTTCTTTGCATCCACTTTTCCAACTGCTTTGTAATCCGTTGATGTTTCCATTCGGTCATGTTAGCAACAATTACTCCAGGATTAAAGGAGCAGGTGCTGGGGCTGATGCCTAGATCTCTAATCGCCTGCTTTCTGTAGTCCAGGAATCCCATGTACGTGTTCTAAGAAACAAAAAAATATGTTTATCCCCTATGGATCTCCATAAAGGTAAGCTACCACCCACATGGAGACTAAATATGCCCTCTCAGAGCTGAGTTTCAAGAAGGTGGTTACTGGTCTTCATTTCCACATCACACAAGGCTGAAAGGCAGGATACTTCCAGCTACTGAATTAGTTTCTCCACGGTATTATTCCATGAGAGTTCTTCCCTCACCATACATTTGTCTTTCTGTAGCTTATTCTGACTGATGTAATATCACACTTGTACTGCTGTAATGCCAGGGGCACTCTGACAATTCTGGGGAACTCAGCTCAGGAATTAGCCTGTAAACTCGTTTTCCCAAGCCTCATTCCCTATGTCACTAATAGAAATATCATCTATTCTGCCTTCATTAGTTGTTCCGGAAGTGCTCATGATCTACTGATAGCAAAATAGCGAACATCATTTAGAAGAAGCCAAAGAACAATAGATATTGAAATTATTCTAGGAAACAACTCTGCAGAGCATTGCAGAGTTACTGCAATTACTGTAAAACTACTACAAAACTACCAAAAAATAAAAACATAACTTTCACTTTGTGGAAGATGCATCAAATCACCTTACATTTGCAGGCCAATGCATTCACCCTTAGAATTCCAAACTGGCACCTTACCTGCATCCCTACACTTCTAACCATTTCATGTGTGGAAGGCAGATCACAGTCGTCTGAAAAAGCTGCAGCATGTCCAGGAGCCAGCTTGGTGTCGTACAGTTCCTGGATGTCACCTGATTGCAGAAGGGTCAAAAGCATAAGGAAACTGCTTCACTGCTACAGAGTGGGTAGGAGAACTTCTGTTCTCAGACATGTCACTTAGGAACATTCCAATTTTAGGCAATAGCCCAGATATTCATGAAGGCTGAATTTTGTAATATGGGACAATTTTCCAGTTTTTTCCTGTACCTGGATGTCTATCTTCAGATAATATCATCATTATTCAATACATCCATATACTAAATGTCCAAAAACAGCTACAGCAGAAGCCAATTACACTGTTAAGAAGCCTGGTTACAAAGCTCTCCATTCACAGAGCTTGCCCTTGGAAAGAGAGCACACAGGCAGCTTCTCTGAACCTCTTCAAGTCCCACAGAAGCACCACTTCAATCTCTGGCACAGATCAGGCTTTTCCTGATTTTATCGTATTTATGCCTCCTGCTAAGATAAGTGGATTCCCAGCACTGGCCAGTTGAAAAGTGCCTGATATGCTTGACCATTTCCCCTGGCCACCCAACTGCTTCCTGGTGGAGGGAAATAACTAATGCATGGCATCTCACCCGTCTCCTGACTAGCAGGTACCCTGATGTACCTGAAAAGTTTCAGGGCAGGTGGGAAGCACAGCACTGCCACAGCAATGGAGTGAGTCTGCATCCAAACTTCCAAGAGCCACCAGCTTTGCTGCTGGGCATGGGCTGGTCACAGATAAGAATCATCATCTTGGAAGGCCACATATGGCCCAGCAGCCTGAAGTGAGCTCATTCAAAGACTAGTAACCAAAAACATTCTGCATACTGCAAACACTGAAACTACTACTTATGAAATAAGCAGAGAGTACTTATTTATTTGCCTGAACTCATCAGCTGTTTGGAAAACATGGTTTTGGACTCATATCCCACCAAGAAACAGAATTTGAAATAATGAGACACTTAATTGTTGAAGATCAACATGCCTTGCCAAGAATTTTCTCCTGATTCTAAATAGCTTCTGCTTTTCAAAAGAAAAAGCAAGAGAAAGAGGGAAAGCAAGAAAAAAGCAAGAGAAAGCAGCTTTTAAAGAGAAAAGCAGAAAAGGAATAAATAACCAAACCAAACAATTCTGGGCTGAGCCCCCAAGTTCAGCACGTTTCACTCTTAATGCTTTGCAGAAAGTAGCAACCAATAAGTGATCCCCAAGTTAAACCCCATTCACTCCCAGTGCAGAGACATCTGATGGAGAGCGCGGTCTCACATTAGAGCCATGACATGAGGAGCAGCTGCCAGAACAAGCTTCCTCCCTCCACCTCGCTCCCAGATGTCTGTCTTTATTCCCCTCTTCTGGGCCCTATGATTGCGTGACCCAAGGGTGAGCAAGGTAGCCTGGCTGAAGCAAAGGAAAGGAAAACAAAACAAGAAAAAAAGGGGTTGGTTTTTTCCGTACTGCTAGTCTTCTGCCAGGTCCAGCAGCTGAATCAGCTTATTCTGCAGCTGCACAACTGTAGATAGGACATAAGTAACAGGAGCTGCAAGGGACAGAAGAGGCAGCAGCCTGCCATGAGCTGTAATGTGAAACTAGGTGCACCTTTATCCTGTGGCTCCAGAAACACTATCAGCTGACAGTAGCTGACACCCCTCAGGAAAGAAAAAGCCCTACCTCTCCTCTTCCAGCCACACTGCTTTGACTCCTACCAGGGAACAAATTGAGGCTGAAAGGAATCACAATTCTGGTGAATGCCTGTGTAGGTGCAAGGAGGGATGTGGGGGAAGCCATGGGCTCAATCTGCAGTGCTCATGAAACTGGAGCATAAATGAAGACTTAAGAACCTTCCAGAGACTGAAATACTGCTGTTGCCCATTGGTGACAGAGAGAACAACAAAATCAAAAAGCAGAGATAGCCACTGGAAACATGCATGTTGAAGAACTGTCATATGAAGTCTATTGCAAATTAAAATGAGACAGGCAGAGCAGATTGTTTTTATAAAGTGGCCAGTATCGGCCCCTTTAAATACAGATGTTATGAAATCTGCCACTAAAGACATAAAACTGTAAGAAGCTGCAGAGAAGCTGTGGAGAATAGAAATTCACTGATCTTAATGTTCTTAGCATTTGTGGGAATTCAAATACTAACAGGAAATGCATGTCACATACTTCATAAATATTGCAGCATCTAAGTGAAATCCATATCTTTCAGCAATTGACCAGATTCAATTAAAATGAAACCCATACATACAACTTTGATCAGAATCAACTATTCAAAAGATACACAGAGGAAAGCTCTACAGACTTTCCTTTAAAACCAAACAGATTATTTGTGGTTTCCCTGAGCACAACACTCCTAGCAGCTGCCTCAGTTTCCATTATATCTCATATTTCCAAACGACTGTGAAAGCTGCAATAACCTTGATTTGAATTCTGCTAGAAACTGCCTTTTGGATGACAGCTTACCTTGAACAATGATATCATCATCCAAATAGATTACTTTCTCATGTTTCTGGATAAGCAAAGGAAGGTAAAATCGAACGAAGTTCAGCTATTAAACAGAAAAAAAGGTGAACACTAAACGGTAAAGCTGTTTAATGAAGTAGTCTCACATTTCCGTCTCTATTAACAATTAAACTGTTATTTGTGTAATTCAACCAATTAAACTAAATTTAATTTCTCTCTTCATTGAGCACTAGCCACCAATCATTTGCTTCCTTCCCCCCAGCTTTAGTAGTATCTTGAATCCATTATTATTTACTTCTATTTTAATTACTATGGCTCCAACGAACCAGCCCAAAACAGTTGTTTCATCACAAGAATCATTTAGATTGGAAGGGGCCTTTTGAGATCATCTTATCCAAGCCCTCTTCTCAAGCAGGGTCTACCCAAGCAGGTTGCCCTGGACCATGCCCAGTTGGTTTTTGAATAAATCCACAGATGGAGACTCAACAACTTCCCTGGGCAACCTGCTCCAGTGTTTGACCACCCTCACTATTAAAGAAAAAACAAAAAAAGTTTCTTCTTGTGCCCAGAGGAAATGTCATGTATTTTAACTTGTGCCCACTGCCTCTTGTCCCCACCCTCAGGTATTTATGAGCCTTCTCTTCTCTAAGATGAACAGCTCTCTCAGCCGAACAGCTCTCTCAGCCTCTCCTCATATAAAAGATGCTCCAGTCCCGAACTCACCCTAGCAAGTCCACAACTTTCTTGTAGAGGGGAACTCGGAACTGGACACACTGCATGTAAATCATGCAACATTTCTTGTTTGTTCTCACTGTGTCTACTACTAATTTAATCTAATGACCATTCATTCTTGCATTGGAAGAGACAGTGAGCAACCACCCCCCATCTGGTCCTCCATGTCACTCAGTTCTGCGGACCTCTACTATTTTCACACTAGAAGTCATATTTCCAGGCTAAGCAGTTTTAACCCACTGATTCCTTGCACGAAGAAAGGAATTCCATAATTAGAAATGTCAAAGGCTCAGAGAAGGGCAGCAAGAATAAACATTCCGAACAGACCTGAACATCTTCCTGTGGTAATATGCCTTATCCAGATAACAGGACAAAGACTACACATAGTATTTAGGATGAGGGAAAACTATGGATTTGTGTTGTGGCATAATAATATTCTCTACATTGATGCTTATTCCTTTCCTAATAATTTCTAGCATCTGATTTGCCTTTTACTGCCAGCTAATAACATTTAGATTAGTCATTAGCTTCTGAATTAACCCAGGACATGAGCAGAATGCAGCCAACTCAGCATCCTGGAGGCACAAAGAACATTATTAGACCTTTCCTCTAATAAACTGTAAATATATTCTTAAAGGTATGACACATTCCAATCACCAAGATTATGTCACCAATAATGAGGTCCCAGCAAGACAGCTAAGTTGCAAGGAGCTTGTTATACTGCACTTTTCCTTCTTGAGTGAGGGCATAGTGTTTAGACCTGATGTAGCTTCTGACTTACATGCCACTCCTGATGTTATGGAACAGAAATTCTAGTACATTTTAAAGCCTGTAGTAAACATTAAAAACCCTGAAAATTTGTTATGTGGTATTAATTTACTCACAGGCTGCAGTAGCTCTGGGCGTGATGCATCTTGTCTGATTTTTCCTTTTAGTACCATAGGATTGAATTCCACAACCTTAAATTTTATCTCTTTCAGTTTAGAATTTTCAATCCATCTTCTGTGATAAAAAAAGCAGTGAAAGAAATAACTGAGTGTGTGGCAAGTACTTCCAGTACTAAATTCACAGACTCACAGAAGAACAGATCTTGAAAGCTCACTTGATCTATTCTGTCCCAAGACAGACTTACATCTACCGCTATTGCACGCAGACATAAAAATCAAAACAACACCCAAAATGTCCTACCTCACTGCCAAAACCAGACTCCACATGTTGCCCAAACAACTCTTCCACCATCACTAGCATCAAATGCTATTTTTCTAGGCTTTCCTCCTACAGTTAAAGACCATTTTTTCTTATCCTATCTATGTTTTTAAAGCAGAGGTTAGTTTTCTCCCTTTCACAGTTTTACATCCCTCAAGATGCCTGTCCCATCAGCTCCTAACTACATTGTCTTTAGACTTATTTTTTCATTATTGTGTCAGATTTCTTGACACCATTGCTTATTTTCTCCTCTGACTTCTCTTCTAAATCCTTCCTGAAAGCACCTAAAACTAACCATCATGCTTTTTGCATTAATAATGTCTCCTGTGGTCACATATATCACCATGTATATCCACTATGATGAATGCCATTATAATTCTGTAGTTTTTCAAATGAGTGCTACCCAAATCCTGCTTTACCTTGAGCCAATACAACCAGTTATTCCCACCTTATTACCTTGTCATTACCTCTACTGAATTTAATCTCATTTTACAGTTCATTTTTCCAATTCATCCTGATTAGTTTGTTTTCAGCTCTTGTCCCCAGTGTATCTGCTGTCTCTTTTCCAGCTTCATGCCAACTGCAGATTCATAGAGAACATTTTCCACTATTATCTAGGTTACTGATGAACTAAATGGAAAAACTCCCTGTGGAACTCTACTCATTACTTCTTTTCGCTTTGACGCAAATTATGAGTACACAGGCTACAGAAGTGCTGTAGCCAGAGGTGAGCAGTGCTAAGAAATCTGCTTTATTTTTGATTCACACCTTCCTCCTCTTTTAGACAATGTAACACCCAATTCTTTCATTACGAGCTTTTTGGGGTCTCTATTTATAACCTTTAATACAGCTTCTCAGCTGAAATTAGCTTTAAACAGCAAGTTTTTCTTCACTGAAGTTTCAAACACAGTGCCAGATGAGAGGAAAGTGCAGTGCCACAAAGTGGGATTGGCACAAGTAAGTATGTATATACTTACATACTACAAACTTTCTGCAGCTGATCTACAACAGGCAGAGAGGCACAGGTAATGGGCACGGGCTGGCTATTTCACACCCCTTTACACCAGGCAGTGCCTTGCAGAGGGCTAAATGGTCCCATTTCCTAAACATAGAGAATGCTGGGTATTGCTACTACTGGTTATAGCACTTCTAAAAGGAAGAAACGTTTACCTGAAAAGTCCTCCAAAGTCTACATGTACGTTAAGGAAAACACCAACCTGGTTCTAACCACAGCATGAAACAAAGTAAGGCTGGTACATACCGAATATGTGGGATGGTAGTCTTCAGCCCAACTATGTAGAACAGAACATTAGCCTCTGTGTTGCTGTAGATGCTACTGATCGCTGCTACAGCTGCACCCATTCTGCCTGCAGCAGCACAGATTACAACTGGAATTTCTTCTTCCATTTCCTCTGGACTCTCCAAATCAACTACAAGAAACAAAACTATGCATTATGACAGAAAATTAAGAATCTTATTATATTAGCTCTGGATGACAAGAACAAGAATATAGTTCCAGAAGAAGCAGACTCATATCACATTCACCCCGTTTCCTTACCACATCCTATACACATCCGCAGCTGGCAATGCACACAGCATGAGCTGTCACTAATCCAGAACTACATGCAGGTTGACTGACTGTTGGATGCCTCCAAACAGAATATAGAACAGAGTTCTTGGCATCTTCTACTCAGCAGATGCACAATTCAGCCTGTCCTCCATGCAGCTGCTTATTCACTTGAACCCTGAAGAAGTTTGAATACCTTAGAGACTTCTTCTCAGTTATGTTTAGTATAAGGTGAACAATAGGTTCCAAAATAATCAAAGGAGAGAGGTAAGTAAAAAAGATTGTGCAATTGCATAAACTTCACTTCTTTGGGAAGCAAGCTAGAAAGAAATAGTGCAAAATTTTATACCAGCAGAAAGTTGCTAATGATAAAAAAGGAAAAAAAAGTCTAAACAATATTGAATCATAGAATTGACTAGGTTGGAAAAGACCTTTAAGGTCATCAAGTCCAACCACTACCCCAGGACTTCCTAGACCACCACTAAACCGTGTCACCGAGGGCCTCATCTACACAGTTTTTGAATCGGTTCACATTACTGCTAAGGAAGGTTTTTATCCCTAGAACTGATTAACTTTCAGAACTTATATAGATATATTTATACTGGTTAAACCATACCATTAAACTCATAACAGTCCCAACAGAAATATACTGAAAAATGGTTTATAGCAAGACAAAGTTTGTTTATATTTGGAACAGTGAATAAGCTGCTAGTATAAACATTTACTACCAGACCAACCACATCAACCCTAGTGGGTTTCTGTCACTATAAAAATTCCAGAAAAAACTCCTGCTTTAAGTCATGTCAAGATCTGATGGTCTATCTGAAATAAACAGCTAGGCTAAGAGCGTTCCCACAGGAGCAAGTTGTGATCAAAGTTTATTAGCACTTAACAACTCCAATGCTGTTCAGCACAAATAAGGATATACTCCAACCTCCCTCTACATCAGTGACATCTGGATAAAAATCTGAATCATAATGACAATTGTTAGTCAGCACTATCAATCTCCTACTATTTTATTCAAGTAATTCAGAAGAAAAAGTTCTGCATCCCAGACCATATGCAACGGTATGAGTAGCTCATCTGCCGCAGGGCAAGCAGGATTCAGTAAGATAAAAAGCACTGTTCAAATGAGGAAATAAGGAATATAAAACAAGAGCATAAACGAAACAGAAGTACAAGTCATTTACCTGTTTCATTCTTTAATGCAGACGGTACTTGGTGAACTTTATTATACAGAATGGCACACACAGTTAAGACAAGAAGTAACAGTAAGATCTGGTTAACTGAAAGAAAAGGGAGAATTTGTAGACAATTAGTATTACAGCTAATTCCAAGCACCTTTTTTAAAAACAAAATCCCATTTGCACCCAGCACATAACCTGTATCTGCTATGTTTATCAACTTCTGCTTTCTCATTATTCAAGCTAAAAAAAAAATTATGTTAAAAACATAATAGTGTCTCTCCCCCATTGCAATAATTTCCAATTATCTGATTTTCATGGATAACTTGCTCACTAAATCATCAAGCTCCTAATATAGATGGGTTATCCATACTAAGAAATTCACACTTTTCTGAGTTTTACCAGAGCCAAACTCTCTTTTCATGGCTAGCTTGCTGTTTCTCATCACAGGACTTCAGGAATTCATTATTTTTACCTAGCTCTTTCCTTTTCTCAGGCTTCCCTGATAAACCTTCAAACAGACGAGAATTTTTTTTCTATTTCAATGTTCAGATCTTTGAGGTGTATTTGAGCAAAACCCTCAAAATCTAGAAAAAGAAACGCAGCCTGCTACTAAACCCAGAAATGTTCCAAAATATTTGAAAATACATATTTTGATGTGATTAATTAGTAAAATCAAAGCAAAGCATGCAACAGCAAAGACCTTACAGTGTATTGTGATCTGTAGTTCCTACCACACTGTTTTGTACAGGTTTAAGTCACTCAACATAAACCAACCCTGAGCAGGTATAGGACAGTTCACTACCTACAGCAGGGAAGGAATACATTGCAGTCATCAACAGTTACTTTGATGATGGGAGGGGGTTAGTTGTTTTTTTTTCCCATCAGACTACTTTGTTTCTTTTGCACCACCATAAAAAGGATTTAAGATGTCCAAAAGAGCAAAGGGAACAGAGTTTTGAACTATCCCAATCAAAGGAACTGGGCACAAGAATAAATTTAAATTGGTAAACATATGTCACCAAACCTACACTAACTTAAACCAGCTGAGAAAACAGCCCATTGCCTTTGGAGACATTTGGGGTGTGTAACTGAAGGCACACCCCAGTCCATTTTCAGTCACTGACCCTGACAGTTGATAAGAACCTCTTATTTCTTGAGGCCACACCTCAATTGCAGGTAAGAACATCATTCATATGCAGAGTTCTGTAAAAACACACAGGTTCAGTGCTCTGGGCACAACCCACATGAAACCAGCAGATACCTGCGCTCTTAGTGGGAAACTGCAGATACCCCAATGTCATGCAAGAAAGCATGGAGTAATTCTAAATTAATGGGATTTGTAGCTGTAATGATCTGACTTAGTTAACAAGAAAATTCTTATCTGTATACTGAAAGTTAAGCATAATTTAGCAAAACCAGATGTATAAATTTGCATCCAACTGTGACAACATTTGTATGAGAAACTGCCTCCGACATTTCTGTCCTCTTTTAAAAATAGGTATTTCAAATGTTTTTAATCTCTCTTACTTTTCTTTAAAAGAGCCATGTGTCCTGTTGGATGAGAACTGTGATCTGTGGTAAAATAAAAATAAACAAACAATTTTTAAAAGAGAGAGAAAAAAATCATTAACATCAGGAGTGAATACTAGCAGTTATATCAGGGACGAGGGTTTGCACCATCAAATTTTACTACTGACCTGGTAAAACTGAACTCTATCTTTGTAAATAACTCCTTTTCTTTAACAAATAACTAACATTCTGGATTAGAACTATTACATATGTTAATTTAAGATACTAATAGGCTGAAAAGAACATCATTTTAATAAATTCCACCCAATCACCTACAAAGAAGTATTAAAACATCCACTGATGCAGTCTGTAAATACCTTTACCTCTGATTTCACTTAAAACATAGTAACAAATGCTGATCTGGAGTACTTTCCCAAACATATGGGAAACTTACACTGGAACAGCATCTTTCAGATTCTCGGAAAATTTCAGAGCAATAGTGAAAACACTTTCTAACAGCAATATACTTCCATTAACAGAAACGGGGGGAGGGGAGAGCTTGTACAATGTGGCTTGTATTTAAATACATTACTTGTGATGCTGAAGAAAATGAGGTAGCCTTCCTCCAAACTGTATTTCTAAAACACCCCCAAGGGTGGCCATGACTTTATGCCTGAGAGGACAACACAGAATCTCTAAAACACAGGGTTATGAGAAATATGACATTCACTTGAATTCTGAACCCAAACCTACTGTTTATGGAAAAAAATAAAAAAGAAAAAAAAATAAAAAAAGAGGAAGAAACAAAGAAAAGAAAACACACAAACCCCCAAACAAACTCCAACCAAAAACCAACCACCACACCAAAAAATCCCCAAGCAAATCAACAGTAAAAAACAGCACCAGAAATCGGTGTAGGGGGTGTGGGGAGGGAAATACAACTATGCAATCCAACCTTCATGCAATGGTAGCTGCATATAGGAGAGCAACCAATTTTCCCCGTTTCCATGCATCCAGATAGGGACACATTACAGCACACATAAGGATATATGGTAGTTTCTGTGCATGCATAAAAATTATTCCAACTCCCTGAGAAAGGAGATGAACAGCAAGAATTCTTGAAAACTGAGTCATGAAACTGACTACTTCTCATTGGCTAATGCTCAAGTTCAGGCAGCATCCTAAATTAGTTTCTACTTTGACTAAAAAGTTAAATGACAATAAAAATACATTAAAAAGCTAAGATATGGCTTTGTTTCCAAACCACTTATATATCTGCATGTATTTAGGCCCCAAGAGATGACTAAATCATACCAAGAGGAGTATTTCTAAAGTCCTTTCGAATCTGCAGTACTTATCTACATTCCAGCAGCCCATTCTCTTCATGTGGCATTAATTTACACAGAGAGGAAATCAAGCTTATCAGTCAAAAAAACCCACAAAAAACAACACTGCCAAGAAAGCCCTTCTTTCATGCATTACATATAAGTATTGTCTTCTTATCCATTTTTGTAAGTTTACTCATTTAGGCAAGCAGAGAGACAAGAGAACCCCCTACAGTCTCAGAGTAATCTTCTAACCCCACTTCAGCTAATCACAATCTTCCACTGATTTCCATAGAGCTGAGTACTATCTTTTAATTAATACTTGTACTGATAGTCACAAACAGTACTGATGATTAGTGCAAGATGAAAGTTGGGTAGCCACAGCTTCATGGTGCCTTCAGAAATTAGTAAATCAACATAAACTGAACCATGTTTTAAACTTTAAGATCCAAACTCAGACAGACTCTCATACAAGTTTGAGTTCTAAAACTACAGCATTCCTAAGCCTCAGAAACTCAGATTGATTACCCACTGATTTTTAAGGAAAGAAAGGAATATTTGTTCCCCTGTAAATACTTACTCATTTTTCCCTGACTGTAGACATTAGTTCCTGGAACCTGGCAGTCCCTAACTCAGTTGCCAAGTCCTGTAACAAAATGAGGGGCTGCAGAAGGGAAAGCTCAGAAACAGTGACATTACTGCTCAGATATTTCCTGCTTAATTAGTCTTTTTACCTCTTCAAAGCAGCACAGTGTTCAGGACTCCTCTCTCTTGAAGAGCTGTAGAGCTATTTACTGGGATCCTAAATAGCCCACAGCTGTAAGCACTCTTGCCAAAGCTTCCTTGACCATCATCCTCCTTTGAAGTCCCCCGCACAAGGGCCTTACAGGGCACAGTAAGAGTTTTAAGATTCAGTTCCTTTTTCAGACTCTTCAAAGTTTACTTTGGAGTTGTGCTGGTTTTCTTTCTCTGCTGCTGAGGAATAGCACAGAGTCCAGACGCTGCACTGGAGGAATGAGAGCCCATAAACCACTTCCAGATGTGTAGAATGATGATGCAGCCTCAGATCTGGCAAACTTGCCTCAGAGCTTCAGCTTGCAGATTGCAAACAAATCCCTTAAGACAAAATGTCTTAAGGGGGTGGGGGAAAGAGAAGGAAACAAAACCTTCCAGAAGTTACTTCAACAGCTTAAGTTGCAGGTTAGGTTTCTAGCCATTATTTTACAGTCAATGTGAACAGATCACTAGTGTGCAAGAGCCAAACAACAGCATGCCAAAGTCAAACTGAAAGCCAAAGTTTTTCCAGTGTCTGTTTGCAGAGTTCCTGCAAGCCAAAAGCCAGCAAAAACTAGGAAAATTCAACTCTGCACATGTATTTTTACCCGAACCATCTAATTTCCAAATCCCTGAGCAGTTAGGGGACTCTGAACCCACAGACTTGGTTTAGATTCAAAGGGATCTTAGATAAAGGCAACCAGCACGTTGATGCTTTGCCTCCTAAGCTCTCCTGAACGCTATTGCAGTTTTACTTCTACACCACTTATTCATTCAGATTTTCTCCCTCCCTTCTAGGAGCCTCCCTTCTATACAATAAAACAGTTCTTTTACAAGACTTTCATGAGTACAGAAAGGAGCAATAGTCATCTTCAATTCTAAACTATTTTTAGCATGAGGCAGTGCAAAACTTAGAGTATTTGGCCAAGGTTTTGAAAATCTGTAAGTATTTTAAATGAAGACTGTTGTTCTGTTTGCAGGAACTGAAAAAGTGAGTTTTCAACTGTGTGCCTCAAATATGACAAACTGTATTACCTGTGTTTGATTTTGTGCAGAAATCCATGTTGTGCAGAGGTACTTGAAGGAAAAATAAATGGAGACCTATACATACAGCTATGGGCTTCATGTAGCTGGGCACAACGATTACCACTTTTTCTGTACTAATTTTGTTTAAACTCTATTAAACTTGTGTTCATCTAAATCCACCCGTGCTGGGGTTTTTTATCTCCCATCCGTGTCTCTGTGCATCGAACAGATCCAAGAAGCACACAGGTGCATGAGCCTGCAGCACTAGGACCACCTGGCAATGCATTCCTGGCAACCCAGTAGCGCCTTCTCTAGATTTCCCTCAGCGTCAGGTGTTTTCTACTCTCGTTTAACACCCCCCTCACACAGGAAAGAGAGCAGCTTCCATCCTGCAGAATGAGAT